TAGGTCATGTACTCTGGCCTAGTACTCATGAATGTTTTAGGTCATGTGCTCTGACTTAGTACTCATGAATGTTTTAGGTCATGTACTCTGGCTTAGTACTCATGAATGTTTTTAGGTCATGTACTCTAGCTTAGTACTCATGAATGTTTTAGGTCATGTACTCAGGCCTAGTACTCATGAATGTTTTAGGTCATGTACTCAGGCCTAGTACTCATGAATGTTTTAGGTCATGTACTCAGGCCTAGTACTCATGAATGTTTTAGGTCATGTACTCAGGCCTAGTACTCATGAATGTTTTAGGTCATGTACTCAGGCCTAGTACTCATGAATGTTTTAGGTCATGTACTCTGGCCTAGTACTCATGAATGTTTTAGGTCATGTGCTCTGACTTAGTACTCATGAATGTTTTAGGTCATGTACTCTGGCTTAGTACTCATGAATGTTTTAGGTCATGTACTCTAGCTTAGTACTCATGAATGTTTTAGGTCATGTACTCAGGCCTAGTACTCATGAATGTTTTAGGTCATGTACTCAGGCCTAGTACTCATGAATGTTTTAGGTCATGTACTCAGGCCTAGTACTCATGAATGTTTTAGGTCATGTACTCAGGCCTAGTACTCATGAATGTTTTAGGTCATGTACTCAGGCCTAGTACTCATGAATGTTTTAGGTCATGTACTCAGGCCTAGTACTCATGAATGTTTTAGGTCATGTACTCTGGCCTAGTACTCATGAATGTTTTAGGTCATGTACTCTGACTTAGTACTCATGAATGTTTTAGGTCATGTACTCTGGCTTAGTACTCATGAATGTTTTAGGTCATGTACTCTAGCTTAGTACTCATGAATGTTTTAGGTCATGTACTCAGGCCTAATACTCATGAATGTTTTAGGTCATGTACTCAGGCCTAGTACTCATGAATGTTTTAGGTCATGTACTCAGGCCTAGTACTCATGAATGTTTTAGGTCATGTACTCTGGCTTAGTACTTATGAATGTTTTAGGTCATGTACTCTAGTTTAGTACTCATGAATGTTTTAGGTCATGTACTCAGGCCTAGTACTCATGAATGTTTTAGGTCATGTACTCAGGCCTAGTACTCATGAATGTTTAGGTCATGTACTCAGGCCTAGTACTCATGAATGTTTTAGGTCATGTACTCTGGCTTAGTACTCATGAATGTTTTAGGTCATGTACTCAGGCCTAGTACTCATGAATGTTTTAGGTCATGTACTCTGACTTAGTACTCATGAATGTTTTAGGTCATGTACTCAGGCCTAGTACTCATGAATGTTTTAGGTCATGTACTCAGGCCTAGTACTCATGAATGTTTTAGGTCATGTACTCAGGCCTAGTACTCATGAATGTTTTAGGTCATGTACTCTGGCTTAGTACTCATGAATGTTTTAGGTCATGTACTCTGACTTAGTACTCATGAATGTTTTAGGTCATGTACTCTGACTTAGTACTCATGAATGTTTTAGGTCATGTACTCAGGCCTAGTACTCATGAATGTTTTAGGTCATGTACTCAGGCCTAGTACTCATGAATGTTTTAGGTCATGTACTCAGGCCTAGTACTCATGAATGTTTTAGGTCATGTACTCTGACTTAGTACTCATGAATGTTTTAGGTCATGTACTCAGGCCTAGTACTCATGAATGTTTTAGGTCATGTACTCAGGCCTAGTACTCATGAATGTTTTAGGTCATGTACTCAGGCCTAGTACTCATGAATGTTTTAGGTCATGTACTCAGGCCTAGTACTCATGAATGTTTTAGGTCATGTACTCTGGCCTAGTACTCATGAATGTTTTAGGTCATGTGCTCTGACTTAGTACTCATGAATGTTTTAGGTCATGTACTCTGGCTTAGTACTCATGAATGTTTTAGGTCATGTACTCTAGCTTAGTACTCATGAATGTTTAGGTCATGTACTCAGGCCTAGTACTCATGAATGTTTTAGGTCATGTACTCAGGCCTAGTACTCATGAATGTTTTAGGTCATGTACTCAGGCCTAGTACTCATGAATGTTTTAGGTCATGTACTCAGGCCTAGTACTCATGAATGTTTTAGGTCATGTACTCAGGCCTAGTACTCATGAATGTTTTAGGTCATGTACTCAGGCCTAGTACTCATGAATGTTTTAGGTCATGTACTCTGACTTAGTACTCATGAATGTTTTTAGGTCATGTACTCGGGCTTAGTACTCATGAATGTTTTAGGTCATGTACTCTAGCTTAGTACTCATGAATGTTTTAGGTCATGTACTCAGGCCTAATACTCATGAATGTTTTAGGTCATGTACTCAGGCCTAGTACTCATGAATGTTTTTTAGGTCATGTACTCAGGCCTAGTACTCATGAATGTTTTAGGTCATGTACTCTGGCTTAGTACTCATGAATGTTTTAGGTCATGTACTCTAGTTTAGTACTCATGAATGTTTTAGGTCATGTACTCAGGCCTAGTACTCATGAATGTTTTAGGTCATGTACTCAGGCCTAGTACTCATGAATGTTTTAGGTCATGTACTCAGGCCTAGTACTCATGAATGTTTTAGGTCATGTACTCTGGCTTAGTACTCATGAATGTTTTAGGTCATGTACTCAGGCCTAGTACTCATGAATGTTTTAGGTCATGTACTCTGACTTAGTACTCATGAATGTTTTAGGTCATGTACTCAGGCCTAGTACTCATGAATGTTTAGGTCATGTACTCAGGCCTAGTACTCATGAATGTTTTAGGTCATGTACTCAGGCCTAGTACTCATGAATGTTTTAGGTCATGTACTCTGACTTAGTACTCATGAATGTTTTAGGTCATGTACTCAGGCCTAGTACTCATGAATGTTTTAGGTCATGTACTCAGGCCTAGTACTCATGAATGTTTTAGGTCATGTACTCTGGCTTAGTACTCATGAATGTTTTAGGTCATGTACTCTGACTTAGTACTCATGAATGTTTTAGGTCATGTACTCTGACTTAGTACTCATGAATGTTTTAGGTTCATGTACTCAGGCCTAGTACTCATGAATGTTTTAGGTCATGTACTCAGGCCTAGTACTCATGAATGTTTTAGGTCATGTACTCAGGCCTAGTACTCACGAATGTTTTAAGGTCATGTACTCTGGCTTAGTACTCATGAATGTTTTAGGTCATGTACTCTGACTTAGTACTCATGAATGTTTTAGGTCATGTACTCTTAGTACTCATGAATGTTTTAGGTCATGTACTCAGGCCTAGTACTCATGAATGTTTTAGGTCATGTACTCAGGCCTAGTACTCATGAATGTTTTAGGTCATGTACTCAGGCCTAGTACTCATGAATGTTTTAGGTCATGTACTCTGGCTTAGTACTCATGAATGTTTTAGGTCATGTACTCTGACTTAGTACTCATGAATGTTTTAGGTCATGTACTCTGACTTAGTACTCATGAATGTTTTAGGTCATGTACTCTTAGTACTCATGAATGTTTTAGGTCATGTACTCAGGCCTAGTACTCATGAATGTTTTAGGTCATGTACTCAGGCCTAGTACTCATGAATGTTTTAGGTCATGTACTCTGGCTTAGTACTCATGAATGTTTTAGGTCATGTACTCTGACTTAGTACTCATGAATGTTTTAGGTCATGTACTCTGACTTAGTACTCATGAATGTTTTAGGTCATGTACTCAGGCCTAGTACTCATGAATGTTTTAGGTCATGTACTCAGGCCTAGTACTCATGAATGTTTTAGGTCATGTACTCAGGCCTAGTACTCATGAATGTTTTAGGTCATGTACTCTGGCTTAGTACTCATGAATGTTTTAGGTCATGTACTCTGACTTAGTACTCATGAATGTTTTAGGTCATGTACTCTTAGTACTCATGAATGTTTTAGGTCATGTACTCAGGCCTAGTACTCATGAATGTTTTAGGTCATGTACTCAGGCCTAGTACTCATGAATGTTTTATGTCATGTACTCAGGCCTAGTACTCATGAATGTTTTATGTCATGTACTCAGGCCTAGTACTCATGAATGTTTTAGGTCATGTACTCTGGCTTAGTACTCATGAATGTTTTATGTCAGGTACTCAGGCCTAGTACTCATGAATGTTTTATGTCATGTACTCAGGCCTAGTACTCATGAATGTTTTAGGTCATGTACTCTGGCTTAGTACTCATGAATGTTTTAGGTCATGTACTCTGGCTTAGTACTCATGAATGTTTTATGTCATGTACTCAGGCCTAGTACTCATGAATGTTTTAGGTCATGTACTCTGGCTTAGTACTCATGAATGTTTTATGTCATGTACTCAGGCCTAGTACTCATGAATGTTTTATGTCATGTACTCAGGCCTAGTACTCATGAATGTTTTAGGTCATGTACTCTGGCTTAGTACTCATGAATGTTTTAGGTCATGTACTCAGGCCTAGTACTCATGAATGTTTTAGGTCATGTACTCAGGCCTAGTACTCATGAATGTTTTAGGTCATGTACTCTAGTTTAGTACTCATTAAACTTATAGGTCATGTACTCTAGTCTAGTACTCATGAATGTTTTAGATCATGTACTCTGGCCTAGTACTCAATGAAGGCTTTATGTCATGTACTCAGGCCTAGTACTCATAAATGTTTTAGGTCATGTACTCAGGCCTAGTACTCATAAATGTTAAAGGTCATGTACTCTGGACTAGTACTCATGAATGTTTTAGGTCATGTACTCTGGTTTAGTATACTCATAAATGTTAAAGGTCATGTACTCTGGACTAGTACTCATGAATGTTTTAGGTCATGTACTCTGGACTAGTACTCATGAATGTTTTAGGTCATGTACTCTGGACTAGTACTCATGAATGTTTTAGGTCATGTACTCTGGTTTAGTATACTCATAAATGTTTTAGGTCATGTACTCTGGACTAGTACTCATAAATGTTTTAGGTCATGTACTCTGGACAAGTACTCATGAATGTTTTAGGTCATGTACTCAGTGCTAGTACTCATTATGAACGTTGTTTCAGGTTGAGTGCGTGTCTGTCATCCGTGCAGTGATGGACTCTCGCATCGGACTCGATTATATTGTTGAAAATAAGGAGTACACAACCAAACTAGCTGCTGGTGAGTACATGTGTGTGTGTGTGTGTGTGTGTGTGTGTGTGGTGTGTGTGTGTGTGTGTGTGTGTGTGTTGTGTGTGTGTTGTGTGTGTGTGTGTGTGTGTGTGTGTGTGTGTGTGTGTGTGTGTGTGTGTGTGTGTGTGTGTGTGTGTGTATGTGTGTGTGGTGTGTGGTGTGTGTGGTGTGTGGTGTAGTGTGTGTGGTGTGTGTGTGTGTTGTGTGTGTTGTGTTTGTGTGTGTAGTTGTGTGTGTGTTGTGTTGATTGTGTGTTGTGGTGTTGTGGTGTGGGTTGTGGGTTTGGTGTGTGTGTGGTGTGTGTGTTTTGTGTGGGGTGTGTGTGTGTGGGGTGTGTGTGTGGGTGTGGGGTGTGTGTGGTGTGTGTGTGGTGTGGTGTGTGTGTGGTGGTGTGTGTGTGTTGTGTGGGGTTGTGTGTGTGTGTGTTTTGTTTTGGGGTGGTGTGTGTGTGTGTGTGGTGGGGTGGTTGTGTGTGTGTGTTTGTGTGTGGTTTTTGGTTTTGTGTGTGGTGTGTGTGTGTGTGTGTGGTGATGTTGTGTTGTGTGTGTGTGTGTGTGTGTTGTGTGTTGTTGTGTGTGTGTGTGTGTGTGTTGTGTGTTGTGTGTGTGGTGTGTGTGTGTGGGGGGGGGGGGGGGGGGGGGGGGGGGGGGGGGGGGGGGGGGGGGGGGGGGGGGGGGGGGGGGGGGGGGGGGGGGGGGGGGGGGGGGGGGGGGGGGGGGGGGGGGGGGGGGGGGGGGGGGGGGGGGGGGGGGGGGGGGGGGGGGGGGGGGGGGGGGGGGGGGGGGGGGGGGGGGGGGGGTTTTTTTTTTGGGGGGTTTTTTTGGGGGGGGGGGGGGGGTTTTTTTTTTTTTGGGGGGGTTTTTTTTTTTTTTGGGGGGGGGGGGGGGGGGGGGGTTTTGGGGGGGGGGGGGGGGGGGGGGGGGGGGGGGGGGGGGGGGGGGGGGTTTTTTTTTTTTTTGGGGGGGGGGGGGGGGGGGGGGGGTTTTTTTTTGGGGGGGGGTGGGGGGGGGTTTGGGGGGGGGGGTTTTTTTTGGGGGGGGGGGGGGGTTTTTTTTTTTTTTGGGGGGGGGGGGGGTTTTTTTGGGGGGGGGGGTTTACCTTCCCCAGAACAAAAACCTCTTTTACAAAAACGGTCCCCGGGGGGGAAAAAAGGGGGGCCCCCCCCAAACAAAACCCCCTTGCCAGGCAACCCCAAGACAACCTGGCCGGGACCCCCGGGCCCAAGGTAAAAGGTCAGGTGGTGCCAGTTTTCAAAATTTGCAATTTGGGGTCGCTTTTATTTGTTAAAAGGGGTTTTACGAACGCCGGGGGGGGCCCTTGGGGTTTTATTTTTAATTTTTTTCCCCTTTTTGGGGGTTTTAAATTTATTGTTGGTGTGGGTGGGGGGGGTGGACTAGGGGGAGGGAAAATGTGGGGGGGGGTGTGGGGGAAAGTGGGAGGAATGTGGGGGGGAGTGGGAGTAAGGGGGGAGCAATGTGGAGGGATGGGGGGGTCAGGGGGACCTGTTTGAATTTGGGGCCGTGGGGGACCGTGGGGGCCTGTGTGAACGGAGGTGCCTTGTTACTTCTGGAGGTACACCCTGAGAAACGTCACAGTAAAAAGAACAGTCACAAAAACACAAAACTCACGAAAAAAACAAAACAAAAACAAACACGCACAGTAAACAGAAACCCCGTCACAAATAAACACAACACGTCACAAAATCACAACCGCCAATAAACACAACACGTCACGAAAAAAAAAACACGCACAATAAAAACAACACGTCAAGTAAACGAACACGCAAAATAAACACAACACGTCAAGGGGGGGGGGGGGGGGGGGTTTTAAAAAAAACTACAGAAACCCCAAAAACGTCACAGTAAAAAACAACCGTCAAAAAAAAAAAAAAAAAACAACAATCACAAAACAAACACTCACAGTAAAACCCCAACACGCACAGTAAACACAACACGTCACAGTAAACACAACACGTCACAATAAACACAACACGTCACAGTAAACACAACACGTCACAATAAACACAACACATCACAGTAAACACAACACATCACAGTAAACACAACACGTCACAGTAAACACAATACGTCACAGTAAACACAACACGTCACAGTAAACACAACACATCACAGTAAACACAACACGTCACAGTAAACACAACACGTCACAGTAAACACAACACGTCACAGTAAACACAACACGTCACAATAAACACAACACGTCACAGTAAACACAACACATCACAGTAAACACAATACGTCACAGTAAACACAATACGTCACAGTAAACACAACACGTCACAGTAAACACAATACGTCACAGTAAAACACAACACGTCACAGTAAACACAAACGTCACAGTAAACACAAACAGTCACAGTAAACACAATACGTCACAGTAAACACAATACGTCACAGTAAACACAATACGTCACAGTAAACACAACACGTCACAGTAAACACAACACTCAATAAACACAACACGTCACAGTAAACACAACACCAATAAACACAACACGTCACAGTAAACACAACACATCACAGTAAACACATCACAGTAAACACATCACAGTAAACACAACACATCACAGTAAACACATCACAAGTAAACACAACACATCACCAGTAAACACATCACAGTAAACACAACACAATCACAGTAAACACAACACATCACAGTAAACACATCACAGTAAACACATCACAGTAAACACAACACATCACAGTAAACACAACACATCACAGTAAACACACAACACATCACAGTAAACACATCACAGTAAACACATCACAGTAAAACACAACACATCACAGTAAACACATCACAGTAAACACAACACATCACAGTAAACACAACACATCACAGTAAACACATCACAGTAAACACAACACATCACAGTAAACACATCACAGTAAACACATCACAGTAAACACAACACATCACAGTAAACACATCACAGTAAACACATCACAGTAAAACACAACATCACAGTAAACACAACACATCACAGTAAACACAACACATCACAGTAAACACATCACAGTAAAACACATCACAGTAAACACAACACATCACAAGTAAACACAACACATCACAGAATAAACCAGCATCACAGTAAACACATCACAGTAAACACACAACACAATCACAGTAAACACATCACAGTAAAACACAGCACAGTAAAACACAATCACAGTAAAACACATCACAGTAAACACATCACAGTAAACACATCACAGTAAACACAACACATCACAGTAAACACATCACAGTAAACACAACACATCACAGTAAACACATCACAGTAAACACAACACATCACAATAAACACAACACATCACAATAAACACAACACATCACACTAAACAAACTTCGCCAGCCAGCGGCTTCGTCAGTCCCATTACAGAGAAGAACGGTGTAAGATGAGACGGTCTCTGAGATAATCAGTCCCTCAGTGGGTAGCTGAAGATTTCTTATTCCAGTTCCTTTTCACGTTAAAAAAGGTTGATTTTCGTCCGCTTCTAGCTGTAGTGTGCTATAATTGGTTCCCGTGGACTGGTGGCTAAAGCTTTCGCTTCACACGGCGAGGGTTCGGGTTCAATTCCCAGTGAGGTAGAAACATTGGGTGTGTTTGTTTGCACCTGTTGTCTATGTTCACCCATCAGTGAAATGGGTACCTGGGTGTTAGTGGACTGGTGTGGGTCACATCCTGGGTGTTAGTGGACTGGTGTGGGTCGCATCCTGGGTGTTAGTGGACTGGTGTGGGTCACATCCTGGGTGTTAGTGGACTGGTGTGGGTCGCATCCTGGGTGTTAGTGGACTGGTGTGGGTCGCATCCTGGGTGTTAGTGGACTGGTGTGGGTCACATCCTGGGTGTTAGTGGACTGGTGTGGGTCATATCCTGGGTGTTAGTGGACTGGTGTGGGTCGCATCCTGGGTGTTAGTGGACTGGTGTGGGTCACATCCTGGGTGTTAGTGGACTGGTGTGGGTCACATCCTGGGTGTTAGTGGACTGGTGTGGGTTGCATCCTGGGTGTTAGTAGACTGGTGTGGGTGGCACTAACATCCCATATCATAAAAATCTTTGAAAGGGTCCTAAGAAGCAAGATCACCACCCATCTAGAAACCCATCAGTTACACAACCCAGGGCAACATGGGTTTAGAACAGGTCGCTCCTGTCTGTCTCAACTATTGGATCACTACGACAAGGTTCTAGATGCACTAGAAGACAAAAAAGAATGCAGATGTAATATATACAGACTTTGCAAAAGCCTTCGACAAGTGTGACCATGGCGTAATAGCGCACAAAATGCGTGCTAAAGGAATAATAGGAAAAGTTGGTAGATGGATCTATAATTTCCTCACTAACAGAACACGGAGAGTAGTCGTCAACAGAGTAAAGTCCGAGGCGGCTGCGGTGAAATATCTGTTCCGCAAGGTACAGTACTCGCTCCCATCTTGTTTCTCATCCTCATATCTGACATAGACAAGGATGTCAGCTACAGTACCGTGTCTTCCATTGCAGATGACACTCGAATCTGCATGACAGTGTCTTCCATTGCAGACACTGCAAGGCTCCAGGTGGACATCAACCGAATCTTTCAGTGGGCTGCAGAAAACAATATGAAGTTCAACGATGAGAAATTTCAGTTACTCAGATATGGTAAACACGAGGAAATTAAATCTTCATCAGAGTACAAAACAAATTCTGGCCACAAAATAGAGCGAAACACCAACGTCAAAGACCTGGGAGTGATCATGTCAGAGGATCTCACCTTCAAGGACCATAACATTGTATCAATCGCAGCTGCTAGAAAAATGACAGGATGGATAATGAGAACCTTCAAAACTAGGGATGCCAAGCCCATGATGACACTCTTCAGGTCACTTGTTTTATCTAGGCTGGAATATTGCTGCACACTAACAGCACCTTTCAAGGCAGGTGAAATTGCTGACCTAGAAAATGTACAGAGAACCTTCACGGCCCG